ATTCTGATTACAAAGAATCATGTCGATTGCCCAATGAAGCTTCAATATATACTGCCGAACTATCAGCTTTATTACTTGCGTTAAAATATATAGCCTCTATTGGCCTGAATAATTATATCATTCTGACCGATTGTAGAAGCATTATGGACAAACTCACTTCTATCAAAACCACAAAAACCTAAACCATATTGAGATAGAAATAAAGAGGTTACATTATGATATTATTTCTGCAGGTAGCTCGACTTTTATTTGTTGGGTAAAAGGATACTCTGGAATATTAGGAAATAAAGAAGTCGACAAATTAGCTAAATCTGCAGCTTTAACCAAACACAATATAAACAACATACTTCTTCTAGTAACAGACATAGATAATATCAGTAGAAATAATTGCAAACAAAGATGGCAATGTTTATACAACCAAAGTTCAACTGGAATAAACTTTAGAGCTTGCCAACCACTAATTCCCAATGAGAGATGGTTTAAATATGAGACAAATAGGTTATTTATAAAAACAATAAACAGAATAAGATCAAATCACGCACTCACTCCTGCATACAAACACAGCATAGGTATCACTGATTACCCGTATTGCTCCTGTGGTTAAGTGGGAGATCTACAGCACCTTATATTGGAGTGTGGACAGTACAGACAAAGTATCAAAATGATGTATAAAAACTAATTGAGCTAAATTGTCCATTGCCTGTCAGTTTAAATACAATTCTTTTTTCAAATAATAAGCAGATATTAAAACATATCTACGAATGAATAGGTACATAACGTCCTGTAAATTTAAATTATAAGTAGTTTTAGGTATTTAAATTAAAAATTGTAAATATGTCAATAATTGCATGTGTATACGAACATATTACTTCCTGTAAATTAAGATTATAAATAGACTTAGGTAATAAAAGCAAAAATTGTAACTACCACAAATAGTCTGGCTCATTGGCTATGCCAAAGCTGACAACCAACTGACAATAGTAGCGTCTGACCCAGAGTGGGCGGCTGCAAACAGCGTCTGACCCAGAGTGGGCGGCTGAACAATAGGTCCTCCAAAAGGGGGTTATGGTGTTAGGCGTTAGCAACCTAGCACACTTAAAAAATCCAAGGGATAACGAATCATTGGCAGAAATGAAAAATTTTTAAATTAATTTCCGGGTGGTAATACACACCTCCGAAGGAGGGAGCCACATCGGATACGGGGAGGGCACTTCTGCTTTGAGTTCAACAAACCCGGCTTCGAAACTCAACCGTAGACAAAAACAGAGAAAGCTAAGAATCGGCACATGGAATGTGCAAGGCTGGAGAACAAAAGCCAGTGAAGTAACATCAGAAATCGAAAAGATGAATCTCGATATCCCCGTCACAACGGAAACAAAAAAGAAAGGAAACGGCACTGAAAGAATAGGGGAACTAATCCATTGTTGGAGCGGAGTAGAAAAGAAAGACCGCGCAAAAGCTGGAGTTGGAATTCTACTAAAGAAGAAATGGGAAAAATCTATAGACGATTGGGAACCCATAAACGAGAGAATTGCCAAACTGAAAATCAAGATGTATGGCAGAGAAATTATAATACTAGCAACATACGGTCCAACGGAAGACAGTTCAGCCAATGAGAAAGAACGATTTATCGAACAACTTCAGGAACAAATGGATAAGAGAAAACCTAAACAAGAAATAATATTAGTGAGGGATCTAAATGGAAGAGTCGGAAGAAAAGACAATGACAGAACAGTTGGTCCATTTGGAGACGACACAATTGACGACAACGGAGAAAGATTGATAGAACTATGTGAAGTAAATGATTTGAAAATTATGAACGGATTCTACAAACACAAAAATATACATAAGTACACATGGACTCAAGAGACAAGAAAACTAAGATCCATTATTGACTACATTATCATGAACCACAAAAACTCCATCAAAGTGAAAGACACCAGAGTGAAAAGAGGGGCAGAGTGTGGAACAGATCACAAACTTGTGGTGGCATGGATGGAATTCCCCTATATCTGGACAAAACAAAAACGTACATCGATTGTTACAACGGGAACGACAATAAACGAAAAGAGGCTCAAATTACATCTATTACAGGAAGAATCAATAAAAGATCTATACAAAAGAAGACTAGACCAAAAACTAGAAGAATTCAGATATGACACGTTAGATGAAATGCATGAACACATAAAAACCTGCCTGATTTCAGCGGCCTTAGAAACTCTTGGAGAAGACGACCAAAGGAACACCCATCAGAATATCAAATTAAGGGAAGACACATTGAAATGTATAAAAGAAAAGAAAAAACTACACATAAAATACCTAAACACCAAAAAACAGGAAGACAGACCTATATAGAGCGAAAAACAGAGAGGTAAAGAAAAGAGTAACACATGAAAAGAACGAACGATGGGAACAAGCATGCACAGAGATAGAACGACATATCGGAGAAACGAGAAATTCAGAATCATGGCGAATATTAAAAGCACTCCAACGAAATAAGACAGAGAAAACCCAGATCGGCAAAATTAGTGAAAACGAGTGGCAAGAATACTACGTAGAACTACTTACAGAAAACCGTCCCCAATTTCAGGAAGAGAATACAGAACATGCAGGAAATGGGACATACGACCAGATAGAAATAAGTCTAACAGAAGTCAAGAGAGCAATCAAGACATTGAAGAACAAAAAAGCCAAAGGACCTGGAGGGATACAAAACGAACTAATTAAAAACGGAACGGAAAAGTTATTCCGCATGCTAAACAGAATGTTCGAAAGAGGACTAAGTGGAGAGGAAATACCTGCGGAATGGACACAAGCATACATCACATCCATACATAAGAAAGGAAACAGGAAAAAATGTGAAAACTACAGACGAATTAGTATAATATCGTCGGTAGGTAGACTTTACGGGAAAATTATCAAGGAAAAACTAGAAACTGAAATAATAGGAAAAATTGGAGAAGACAAAGTAGGGTTCACAGTAGGAAAATCATGCCTAGATCATACGTACACATTAGAACAACTGATAGAAAAGAAAATGGCAAAAGGTAGACCGGTCCATCTGGCGTTTGTTGATCTAAAGAAAGCATACGACTCAATACCTAGAGTCAAATTATGGGAAGCAATGAATGATCTCGGAATCCGACAAACACTAATAAAATCAGTTAAAGCACTGTACAAAGAAAACAAAGTAGCTATTAAATGTCAAAATAAAGCCTACAAACCATTTAAGACGACAAAAGGACTTCTACAAGGCTGTGCTACGTCCCCTACTCTGTTTAAAATATTCTTGGAAAAGACACTCAAACCATGGAGGAGAAAGTGCGAAGGAATGGGCATACCAGTAAGAGACGAATACCTATACACCTTAAGTTTTGCCGACGATCAAGTAGTCATCGCACAAGATGAAGAAGATCTCAGCTTTATGCTCAGAAAACTAGAAGAATATAAAAACAACGGAATGGAAATAAACTTAGAGAAAACCGAATACCTAACAACAGAAAACAAGGATATGAGAAACCTAGAGATAGACGAGGGAAGACAAGTAAATGGAACAGATAAACTCAAGTATTTAGGAACCATAATATCGAACCAGGAACAACAGAAGAAGATATAAACAACAGACTAAGACAAACAAGAAACTGTATAAGACAACTAAATTCAGTGCTGTGGGATAAGAACATTACGATAAAGACAAAAAAGAGAATATATAATACCCTGACAAGAAGTATCCTGACATATGGTCCGAAAACTGGACAATAAACAAGAGAAATAGAGGTAGAATAAGAGCAGTAGAAATGGAGTTCCTGAGGAGAAGCTGTAGACTTACAAAAAGAGACAGAATTGAAAACGCAGAGATTAAGCGGAGAATGGGAGTGCAATCAGACATAATCGACTATATAGAGGAGAAGAGACTATCCTGGTACGGCCACGTCAGAAGAGCGGACAGAGGACGCTGGATAAACAAAATCACAGAATGGAGCCCGATCGGAAGAAGAAAGAGAGGAAGACCCCGAAGGTCATTCAGAGACGAAATCGACGAGGCTATGGAGAAAAGAACCCTACGAGATGGAGACTGGAATGACAGGGAACATTGGAGAAAACGGTTGAGTGAAGGAAGACAGTGAAAACTGTGGAAATCCTTAGTAGTAGTAGTAGTAGTAGTTTAATAGCTATTTGGTCAGATCTGGTCCTAGGTACTTTAGGAGTTCATTCGGTACTCTGTCCTCTCCTGGCGATTTTTATTTTTTAAGTTCCTTAATGCTTCGTTTAGCTCTTCCTCAAAATGAATGTTAAATACATTATCATTTAAAGACGTATTTTTGCTTGTCTTCAAAGTGCTTCAAATATTGTGAGAATTTGCTTTAAGTTTCTCAGCACAGCGGATTGTTTAAGATAAAGCTTTCATCCCTAATTCAAAATAGTTGCAAATTCGTGAAATGTACTATACTACCAGATTTTCAAATAAAACGTTCATGATTAGGTTGTAGTTTTTATATTTATTCTGCTATTAGTGTAAATAAAGATACAATACATGTTTACTTTAATAAACTTAAATTATTACGATTTAATAAAATGCACTTTACGGACAACTTATTTATAGGAAGTATTTGGACCTAAAATGATTTTTAAAAGTGCAATTTCTATACAGTGTAAACACTACCGTTTTATTACTTTTACTGCGGATTACTATTGAAAAACTATAACGCTTCCTTCTTACAGCAATGAAGCTTTTCCAGGTTGTAGGGACATAACCTAAAGCAATGTGATAGAGTGCGAGTGAATCCAAATATTCGTTACGGTTTTCGTTTGGGAAATTCTTGCAGAAGTCTGTGCCGCCAAGCGGAAGTAAAGTGGCAGTGAAACATTGACCTTTGACCTCATCGAAAATGCGGCATTGGTGAGAACAGATTAAGTTGAACAACGATTCACAATGCATTAATTATTAACAAATTTTCACTATAGCGAGTTGACATTGTTTATACGTAAACTTATAATACATGCACAGGGTAAGTCATACGTAATTAGCCAAATTATAACTCTATATTCAGAAAACAGGTTGCTTTCCAACGCTTTTTTGCTTGAATAAGATTTATGGTTTTGGACATATTGCTATTTCGAATATATCCTTTATATATGTTTTTAAATGCGTTTATCTTCTGTTCTCGATTTTTGTTATATGTATGTAAAAAATATGCGTGTGTAGCACGAAAAATCCTGTCCAATAATTCTAATTTAATTGGTACGATTTGTAAATTTTTATGATTTTAAAAACAATTATTATAAACATAGTTTACTTTCAAGTAAAAAATTTTATACGAAATATTTCCTTATTTTGGTCAAATTTCGTACAAAATATTTTTATGTTATAATTGATCGCTCGGTTCAAATGTTCTGACCGAGTCACAAATGAGGAGGTCCTCAGAAGAATGAATAAGAACCGAGAGGTACTGACCACAATTAAATCTCGTAAGGTACAATTCTTCGGACTTATTATCCGAAATGAATCCAGGAAAAATATATGGAAAGCGAGGTCCAGTAAGAAAAGAACATCTTGGTTAAAGAACCTCAGAATCTGGTTCAATACAAGATCTGTGCAGCTTTTCCGCGCTGCTGCAGATAAGATAAAGATTGCCATGATGATCGCCAACATTCGTAACGGATAGGCACATCAAGAAGAAGAAGAGTTTATCGGCCAGCTCTCTTGTAGACTACTCAACATTTCATCAATCTATTCGAATTTTCTGTACTAAGAGCTGCCTAAAAGTTATTAGACTGGTGGGTTAGACTGGCTGACGGAGTTGCGGCAGTTTGCATACATGTTTAACCCTTCGACTATCGCCGCTCTGCTTCGGCTTGTATCACTTCCACTGTGCTAAGCTTGTATCATCTAACCGTAGTGTAAGGTAGGTAAGAGTAATAACCCCACGGTGGTAATAACGCCAAGTTATGATTTATCATTTAGTATTGGTGCTAAGTGAAATATGGCAACACAGATTCATTCATTGAAGACTAACAAACCACTTGGTCATATTTGTTGGCGACATAAGTTCCCTGGATCTGTATAAAACAGTTGATTATCATTATTGCGTATAGAAGGGAAACTTTTGTTTTCACGTGTTGTGTATTTATTCGATTGGAGCTACATTATTGGTAAGTAATATAATTCGAATTTAGTGATCTATAGCTTTCTCCCGAAGAAAAAAATAGTCTTCTTCTTCCTCCTCTTTATAAGCAACTCTGCTTGTTCGTTGGAGATTTAATACCTCTATGGAAGATTGTCTATCTTGGTCGTCCGATACTTCTTCTGTCGATTAGTGACTTATCTCTTGCTATTTTGACGACACGAGTCTCCTACATATTGCTTATGTGGTTATTCCATTCTTTTTTTTCTATTTTGTTTCCATTCATTTATACACTGTACGTTACAGTTTCTTCTAATGTCTTCACTTCTCTTTCGATCTCTCAGCGTATTTCCTGCAATTCTTCTCAGTACTCTCATCTCTGCCGTTTCCAGTAGCCTTTGCGTTGTGGCTGTGTCGGGTCTTGTTTCTGAGGCATATGTGATTATTAGTCTTACACTGGTTTTAAATTCTTGACTTCATCTCAGTGTTAATATGTCTGTTTCGCCATATAGTGTTATTAAGGCATTCTGACGGTCTATTTGCTTTTTGTACTTAATCTCTCACTTCTTTGTCCAGGTCTCCATAACTAGACAGTGTAATTCATCATCATCATCAATGGCACTACAACTCTTCGTGAGTCTTTGCCGCGTTTACTATTGCCTTCCATGTTTGTCGGTCCTGTGCCAGTAATTCCCATTGTCGCACTCCCATCTTCTCTAGATCTTCTCTGACTGCATCTTTCCACCTTTTTCTAGGCCGCCCTACAAACCTCCTTCCATCTGGCCTTTCCCAGAACACATTGTTTATAAGGCAATTGTCGTTACTGCATATCACAAGTCCTGCCCATCTGAGTCTATTGGCCTTTATATATCTGACTAGATTTTTTTCGAATAGAGACTCTAGCTCGTTATTGTATCTGCCCCTCCATTCGTTTGTCATGCTGCCTCTGCAAGGGCCATATATCATTCGAAGAATTTCACGTTCCCATACCAGAAATTTATTTACTTCTCTTTTTGTTATCGTCCATGTTTCGCTTCCATACGCGACTGTTGGTCGTATTATGGTCTTATATATATATATATATATATATATATATATATATATATATATATATATATATATATATATATATATATATATCCGGATCTTTGCATTTCGTGAAAGAAGTTTCGACTTCATCAGATGTTGCATTGCAAAGAAAGATCTATTTCCTGCCTTTATTCTCGTTTCAAATTCTCGCTCTAATTTGTTGTCATTTGTGATTGTTGCTCCTAGATATTTTTATTTATAGTAATGTTTTGGCTTATTCGCCGTCGTTCTTGTTTTGAGCCGACCATGTATTTTGTCTTGTCTTCATTTATTTTTAGACCGATGTTTAATGCAGCTTCTTCAAAGCTCGAGAAGATATCCTTAATTTCTAATGTTGATTGTGCTACTGCGTCTACGCCATCGGCAAAGGCGAGTATGATTTTTGCTCCCCGAGCAGTTATGTCTGGTTTGATTTTTGGATATATTTTTCGCATATGTCGCATTTATGTCCTATTCCGAGGCAATAATATTCGTTTCATAGCAATATTTTTTTTTACTTATATGGGTCGCTGGTCCGTAGCAAAACCTCCTTTTCGAAGGACCATGTTCTCCCTTCCTCGTTCGCCCTGACCCTGCCTTCCATTGGGGTTGGTTACCCAATATTCAACAAGGTTGCTCAGGTTTCCGGGGTCCACCCGTGTGGTCAAGACCACACTTCGTGGAGGTGAGGATAGGAATTGAGTAGGAGAGGCTAGAGATGCTAACTGGTTGGTACTTTGCTGACTACTATTGTTTTAGTTTTCTGAGACGAGATTGTCATATTAAATTCTTTTGCCCTTATGTCAAATCTGTGGACCAGTCTTTACAGACTATCTTCATCATGGGCTATCAATATTGCGTCGTTTGCGTAACAGAGTTTTTCCTTGTGTCCCATTCTGTATCCTCTTTCTTTGTTAACGCTATTGATTATACTATAGTCTATTATACTATAGTGATTTCTCAGTAATTTGCTTTATAACAAATATTGCATCTGTACCCGATCTTCCACTATGAAAACCCTGATAAACTTTTCCTCTGATTTATTAGCACTTGTAAAATTTTACTTGTAAGTTTTAGCGTAGTATTTGTACAAGTTTACACATCTGTAGTTTTCTTGCTGTTTTTATTTCTATTTTTTGAATAGTAGAATTAGTTCGCTCGTTCTTCATTCTTCCGATATTTTATTGTGTTTTTTAATTTTATTAATTAATATTGTTGATTGTTCTGTCATTCCCGTTCCATAATATTTCAATAATTCGTTTAGTATCCCGTCTTACCTGCTTCTTTTCCGTTCTTCAGGTTTTCAACTATTTTCCGAATTCTGTACTTTATTAGTTCTCATTTGTGGTAATTTCTGTTGTTTCCGGTTCTACCGTAGTTTGTTTTCCCTCTGCATAGAGCTTTTTTAGGTAGTCAATCCACGTATCCTTTCTTATCTGTTTTGGTTCTATTAGTTCCTTTACCTCACTTCTTTGATCTCTTATGAAAGCGCCATATTTCCTTTTGCAGACCGTAGGTAAAGTCATGTTCCATTTCTTTCGAAAAGCGTGATCATTTTTTACTTGCAAGTGTATGTGTTTCGTTTCTAATTATCTTGTAATTATGGTATGACTCTTGTATTTTGGTTGACATGTATTTCAGGTAAGCTTTTTTTACAACAGAATAAAATAGTGCATTCAGATTTTGATGATAGTGTTGGTTGCCTAGTAAATTCGATAGATAAGCATTCAAGTACTTATGGGTAATATCGGCAAGTCTTATATACGGTAATAGCGCCATGGCGTAGTTGACAGTAGTTAATACCAATTACGCTAACGTAATGAGTAATCTTAATGACTAATTAATAGGTACTTGGTGTTTGGAATTATAAAAAGTAATGTCCATACGTTCTAAATATAGATAATTCGTTTTTTTTTTTTTATTAACAGTTAGACCATGTCGAAATACAAAACCGAGAAATAAGAGGAAAATGAAAGGAAGAGGATATGCGGAATGCCTTATCAGCTGTTAAAGGTGGATGATCTGTCAATAAGGCAAGTTCCAAGTAGGACTCTTTAGGATTACGTAAAAAGTAATAAAATAGCAAAATACACAATGGACGCAAATGTGTTCAGATCAAGAAAAAGATCTGTGCAGAAGGATAGTTCGTTTAGCAGAGATCGGATATCCGTTGACGAGTAGAATTTCACGACGGTGTGTATTAAATTTTTGTAAATTAAATATATGAAAAATCTTTTCTGTGAAAAAAGATAGGATGTTATAGGTTCAAAGGGTTCAGAAATCAGAAACCGAAAAGCTCAGAATATGAATTCTGCCAGAGCTCAAAAATTAAACAAATTCATCGTCAAGCACCATTTTCAAAAACTTCAAAAAATACTTACTGATGAGAATCATCTGGATAAAGCCCCAAAGTATATATATGGAGGAAAAGGGATGTCGGCTGACGTTGCATCTCCAACAGCAATTTTAGCAAAGAAAGGAGCGAAATGAGTACACGTAGTAGCAAATGAACATAAACAGAATGTTAAAATAGTATCCTGTATAAATAATATATATATATATATATATATATATATATATATATATATAACTGCTTTGGATGGGTTGGAGTCAATAAAAGGGGCTATTTGTTGACTATTTTTTACTCGAGCTTTCAATTGTGATTACAATTATTATCAAGAGCTTCTAAAAAATAAAAAATATAAAGTTAAACTAGAAATAAAATTTTTTTTTGTTAACTCACCAAATAAAATTAGTTTTTTATATACAACTGCTGCTAACATCTTATTACAAAAAATATTAATACAAAAATGTCC